CCTGAAGAATCCACTTGCACGCGTGTGTGTATGTGCGTGTAACCTCAAAAGAACGAACTGATAAAGTCTAACAAAGGTAATGATAAGCTGTCTGATGGACGGACAAACACACCACTGAATGAATAATGCTGAGAAGGTTGATATCAGTGAGAATTCCACGTGTTGATGGCCTTGGTGGTTCACGGTGCAAATTAGACCACATTGTTCTGATTACTAGCTGTTCATGGAAGATGTGTTCTGTCCGATTGAATGGATTCCGGACAGTTGTGAACATGTAACAATAAACAATTGTAACCCACTAAGGGGTGGGGGAAACTTTAACGTAAATCAGATTATGTAATATGCGGGTTATGTAACTTGTGTTCCGTTTCGATTTCAGTGCGCACACACGCCCTATATTTACTGGTGTTGTTTTTGCATTTGTATGAAATCCGCAGACACTTGATTAGATTCTATAGTCAGATTGGAATGGACCAAATGAGTGTGCAATTTTCGAATGCGGAGCGAACAGATAGAATATCAAAATAGATTATTTTACAAAACGAATCACATAGAAAATCCGATTACCACTCGGAGATCAGATTACAGTTCTATTGGTATCTTTCCCTTAGATGGCAATATGTAGACTAACTACTTAACCCCGATTTTTATAAACATAGTTAAATAATGATAAATAACCAGTAACGGTCACCGTTGAGAGTCACCCATCTATATCGGTTACAGAGCGTAATATCCTGCTGTGTATCATATAAAATATTGGAATTCGACTGCCTGGTACACATCTCCACCATTCTGCAACTTGAGCAGTTTTGTCCGTACATTATCTTTATTTTTGAAGCGACCGGTTGATTCGTCGATGGGAAGTGAAACACTGGCGAAGCGAGTAAAATTATTCAGATTGTTGACGCATGGCATTTATTCGGACCTAGTGTGATAAGTTCATCTCACCCAGGATAGCAATGTCTTGAATGGTTTCCGTCAGACAGATCGTTGCAAATGACCAGCGTTTGAACATCAGTTTGTTTCATGCATTGCTGCAAATGAACACCAGTTTTCTCTGAGCTCCGTTCCACACGTTCCTTATATCGGGAATATCATTCTTTTTACTTTTTATCTGTGAGGGATATAACAACAAACTATGCTGGTTCTATGTAATCAACAGGAGATCAAATGAAACACGTAGTGTGTTTCCCCGTTCCGCGGGTGATGCAGTGACTGTGACAATCTGGCGCAGTGAAAATAAACGTAAAACGCGGGGAAATAGCAGGCGGCGGTGGGTTCCATGGAGCAATGCTTTGGCGACTTGTCGCTTCCGATCACTGATCGTTGTTTGCTGCGACATGAAATTATGAATTATCCGATAGGCGCGACTATCTCTTAATCGATAATTCATCCATTGGCCATTTTTTATCCAGGGCAAGGAAGATCTTAGTAAACTATAAGCAATACAATTCTATTTTTGCTAACATTTTGACTGAGCCTCTTCGTGGTTACGACCCTTTTCCAGTGACTACGATCGACTCTTTTTGTCGCTTGACACTTGGTCACGGTAGAGATAATGCTTGACCGAAACGCTTAGGGTTGTATAATGGAGTGAGGAGGCGTCATGCAGTCTGATCACCATGGCTTCAAGCACACATAGTAGGATCCAATGTACGGATTTAGATGATAACCACGGGATAGGACAACACATTTTGAACGGCTGACATGGTGATCGATTTCGAGTAAGTATTATTATTATTTCCTCTGATAGTTATATTCCTGTATAGCCCAAGTAGATAACTACCCAGGGAAAGGTAAATGAGTAGAGGCACATGAAACTGGTCTGAAAGGACAATCTGGAACCGAAATGTAGGCGATGTAGAGAAACGGATGCGCAGTGTCCACCTCGTCAATTGACTCACCTATGGTGTCAGCTGTCTTGTCGTAGTGGTATACAAAAGCAAAAAACAACACTGCAGCGAGTACGATTTAATTTCGGAATCATTTCGCTGCATCTCAGCTGCAAAATATAGAATATTTTATATATCATAGTTGTTGATAGTCTGATATTGTATCAATTCACCCTTCCGCTTAAGCGGTTACCAGGACAATGCCAGGCTGATGTAGACCTCCCTTTGCTGACACAGCAAGGACTTTCGGCGATAGTAGTATATAATCATCTCTGCATGGAGTTCTACCAACCACGTGTTTCAATACTTTCAAACCTTCTCTCCTCTCTATTTCTATAAACATGTCCCTTATTCTCCCAAATTGATTTCTGTTTCGCTTTCCTTTTGTTCCACAATTTCGTTCCTCTTCTTGGGTTTATGCATAAACTCCTCTTTATGTTGGTCTCCTTTTATTGCTTCACTTGCATCTCGCCCTGCGCGCAAAGTAGGGTTCTCATTCCACGCAAAGCGTTTCTTTACACCCAAGCACCTTTTATCCAAAGCTCAAATGCACCCAATCCTCAACTACTGCCTGCGCGTATGGGACCAAGCTTCATATTTTGTTCTATTTCTCCTTGACTGGGTTCAACGTAAGACCATCCGGTTGATCGATGAACCGTCTTTAACTTCCAACCTGCTGTCACTTTCCTATTGCTGGGAAGTTGACTTGTTATCTCTGCTCTCTTGAACTCACCTTAGCGGTTTTCTTCCCTTTGCCATGTTTCCGTCCATCTCAGTCTCACCCTTATCAAGTTGCTGTCCCCAGATGTTGAACCTCTATCTTAATCTTTTTTCTCCAGGACTGGAAAATTGTGGAACGTTCTTCCATTCTCCGAATTCCAAAACACATGTAAGCTTGCTCTTTTCAAAAGCAGTAATAAAATATTAGTTTTCACTTGAATGTTCCCCAACATTCCGTCTCACAATACGTAAGTGACCACGAAGTTTGCCCCTCTTTGCTGTAAATCAATTTCTGTGTAATCAAAAATCTCGCAGCTTGGTAACCATTATTGTGCTAGATACGAGTACTGAACTACAGTGATATCATGCTGAAAATGTTCCAAGTATGGCGGTAGTGGCCCAGTGGTAACGTCAACAATTATCACTTCGGAGGACGTGTGTTCGAATCCCACCACCACCGCATGTCTTTCCCCGTCATGTGTGTTGTATGGCAGCTCTTAGGCCGCTTCCGCCTTCCTGAAAACTGTATCTTTGTATACTCAATAAAAGGAAGAAAAAAAAGTAAAAATATTCCATGCTATTGTTCGTGCCGTGCGAATGTGTGCATCATGATCTTGCATCCCACGTAGTCTAGCGAGCTCGGTTAAGCAGCTACTCAAATGGAGACACCGCGTACAAATACGGATTTTCGATTGATAATCCGCTCCTCTTTCTACAGTTCATTCCAATAGTAGTTCCACGTGTCGGGTCCAACTAAATTCAATTTCTCTTCCTCGCTTAAGTAGACAAAATTCCTATCGTTTCTCCAAGTTACACGAGTTTCAGTTCACAATCAACGGTTTTTGTTCGAACATCTGTCAGAGATACATGCATATTCAATTTACTGTATTCCTCTAAGGGACCGTTTCAAGTGTTGGTTGTATCTTTTGAACTGGAACATTTTCACCACTTCCATCTCCGATGCATGACGCACGGAATTCGATGCCATACGTATCAATCTGACCATATATTTCCCTGAGAGGTGTAGAACTGGTTTTAGCTATTTCTGTGCCAAATATATTTTCACAGTGTGCTCCAGACCTAGCGAAATCACGTGTGCTTACATCGATCTCATGTAAGACGTCTCCTCTAGATTTCGCGTTGTCAGTAAACTTCTTCAAACGCCCCATGATTGAAAATGTCTTTTAGTGACTTTTTCGATGTTTGTTCTCTCAAGATCATTGACAGTGAAATGAGCATATCGCCATCATCAACACAGTTTCGCAAGAACTTTGTTTACGCCAGTCTGTCAACCGCTGACTCACCACGGTTCGAAGTTGTTCTGCTAAATACAAACTCGGAACGTCTATCGCATCCACTTTTAACTGACCTGTGCTACATTTTCACGTCCGAAATTCTGCTGTATCGATATATTTTCTTTTAAAACAAAAATAATTTGATAAAAAATTTAATATTTCTCATTTACATTGTCGTCTAAATTCTAAAAAATGATAATGTTCGTCTATGCAAGAGAGGAGATAATCGAAGAAATTAGGAAAATGTGATGCTATTGTCGCGGGATCACATATTAGTTCATTTACTTCTCCTCTAATTCTCACAGTTGACAAAGTGGTTGCGGTGATCTTCAGACTACTTATAAGTACATAAGCAACTTTCAACATTTGTACTGTCGAGAATTCGGGTAAAAAGATACAGAAGTATCTGCTAGCTACGCTCTGCCAGTAGAAACTGCACTTCTCCATTATCATCATCATCATCTGATATTCGGATATTTAAAATCGGCACTGACATCTTAAATTCATATTCGAACATTTAAAATTGAAAAGGGTAAAGTCAGCCGCCATGGACTGCTGCATCCTCAAACAGTCCCAACCGAACAAATACAATATTCCAGAAGTTAAAATTCAGAATTTAGATCAGAGACTGTTGGGCTAAACTACCAACTTGCGGAAGAATTGAAAACTCCCATGATCGTTCAAATGTCTGGGTTTCAATGCCAAACGCCATCTGTCCAAACCACTACGATTCGATTGGTCGGCTCCTATTGACCAATCATCGGCACCCGACAATCTGGTATATATACTTGGATATCAAGACCATTGTCTCTGTGGCTCGTTGGAATTGTGCCATCATGCCGCTACCGGAGGTGAAATTCACACAGGTTAGTGATTTTGGTTTTATCGTTTGGTAGCGGTGGTTTCTAAATTGTTCACGAGCTAACATTTTGTCCATTAGTCTCGGGGTTTACGATTTGTATTTCCATTAGCGGACTTCAATGATTTGCCATCAAATGTGAAGAATTTTCGGGATGCAAATATTTTGCTTGTAATCGCGAGAAACTAACGAACATCATTCAACTCTGTTTTATCACATTTCCAGTTATTCATCAACAACGAGTACGTGAACAGTTCTACGGGAAAGAAGTTCAAGACTATCAACCCGACCACCGAGGAAGTGATTTGTGAAGTACACGAACCTAGTGATGCAGATATCAATAAGGCAGTTGCAGCGGCCAAAGCTGCTTTCCGGCGCGGTTCTGCTTGGCGTACAATGGACGCATCTGCACGAGGTCGTCTGCTCTATAAACTGGCAGATTTGATTGAGAAGAACGCGGATTATATTGCGGTGAGTTATCAGTGCGTAATCAATTCACCAACAGCAATCATATTTGCCTCTGCATTTTTGATTCGTTTGCGTGGGTTCGCAGTGCGGTTACCACCTTTTAGAACGGGTTTGTTACACTCCGAAGATTAATGCGTTGAGTTCTCACCTACGGTATCTTTGCATATGGAGTTTCGCCGAATACAATTAAAAGTAAACTTTTTGTGACAGAACTCAAATCCGAAGTGTGTGCGCTGTTTATATGGATGGAATCCTGTTCAGAATGCATACTACGGTTGATAGGAATCTCTCGTGGATAATGAGAAAGCAAGGTAACAAGGGAAAATGAAGTCGAAATGAGAAGGCAGAAAACAGTCAGCTCGCCAGTGCGTTCTCATTTTTGCCTTTAGATCTGAAGTTTGTTTCGGGTAGAAAATTGGAGCGCTTGGCTGACTTATCATGGATTGAAATTCATCGCATGAAACACTATCCTAATCTAGTCAGGCCTTGTGCATTCACAGGTAGGCTTTATGCGTAACTAAGGTGCCTGGTGATACTAGAAGGAATAAAACACGATTTTGAAGTTACGTAGAATTCATCTTAAGTTGTCCGATTTCGACCATAACAGTCATAATGTGTCTAGTCCAATAATGGGCTTTTCGACAAGGGTAGTCACTTAGATTCTCAAGTAGATGAGTCAGTCAACGTAAGCTCAGGCCAAAGAGGTGTTTGCTGATATAAGCATATCTCACTGAAATGAGCCTGGTCTAACCGACAGTCCATGATGTGGTTTCAAATATTCATTAATTTGGTTCATTGAGCAAATCATTGAATGTTCTGGTGGGTGCGTTAATCTAACAGGAACCGCACTCTTTTCGTTTCTTGTAGCGTTTAGATGCTCTAGATAACGGGAAAGCTGTTCATTCCGCAATGGGTGATGTGCAGTTTGCGATTAACATAACTCGTTACTACGCTGGTTATGCGGATAAAATCAGTGGAAAACTGCTTCCAGCCGACGGACCGGTGGTCAGTTTTACCCGTCCGGAGCCAGCCGGAGTTACAGTAGGAATCATTCCGTGGAACTATCCATTCTTGTTAGCAATCATAAAACTGGCGCCATGTCTGTGTGCTGGTTGCACTTTAATCCTGAAACCAGCCGAACAAGCTCCGTTGTCTACCATCTATTTGGGCAGTCTCATCCGTGAAGCAGGTGAGTTTATCACGTGTCTTGAGTAAATTATTTCGATTAAGTTATTGTCATAAATGTGTTCCCACTGAATCAGTACTGTAGCTTCATCGCGTTCATCCATCACCGATTGTACAAAACTCTTTTTTCTTTTTCTCTTTTAATTCCTGTTATTGAATATACAGCGATACAATTTTCAGGAAGGCGGAAGCGGCCAGTCAAACGGGGCTACCGTGCAAGATACAATGGGGAACGTCAGACGGTGGTGATGGAATTCGAACACATGTCCCTCTGACTGGTAGTTTAGTGACGTTATCACCGGGCAATTATCGCCCAGAACATTGAACCACTGATTGTTTGCATGAATTATTGTCTGGCAAGCAGTAATTCTGCTTTGGTTAGCCTCGTAATCAAAAGATAACTTTGAACTATACGAGTTAAGGTAGAAGGAAAATCAAGAGACATCATTTGGAATAGAGTGGCAATTTGACCAACAGATAGCCTTCTTCGCTGTTTCGACGTGATAATAACACTTTCTGCTCTCCGAGGAACAGTATCCCTTTTTGTGTTCTAACAGGAACAAGGTCTTTGATTACTACTTCTGTGATCGATGAACACCTAGATGATTGGTGTTCAAGACGGACTTTTCGTTTTCTCACCCAAAGCACTATTGGTAGCCTGGTGGAACTACTCAGTGAATTGCAGATTGTTCGAATGGGAACAGTGAATCACGACAAAATGTTCACCCTCACGATATCATTTCTGTAACAAAGTGTAAGCCCCAATGAGCCAAAATCAAAGAAGNGAATGCCACTGATGTCCAACACGGACGTATTCAGAACTCATCTATATTGATATTGCCGTGTGTTGTTTCATCTGCTGTAAATATGTTTTTGAAAGACCAGAACTAAGAATATGGCTCAGATCTGCTGCTTTGAATGGAAGGACAACAGAAGTTGATCACAGTAACGAAATGAAAGAGTGTAGATTGAGAATGCTCATCGAATAGTCACTAATGGTGGGTTGCAATTAGTCAGAATTGTGTCACTTTTACCAATTGCACACGCAATTCTCGAGTACTGACGTTGTAATCCCTAACTCTACCTGATCGACAGTCAGTGTCAATGTTTATTTCTTCGTGCCCTCGTCTGGCCCAATCCAGATTGTAGTAGTGTTGTGCTTCGGTAAAAACAAGTGCAATGTCTTGAATTCCTTTGATGGTGTTCTTGGTATCATGGCGTTGGACTTCATTACCAAAAACCCAATCTGCGAATTGGCCAACCTTGATAAGTGTGTTATTCCTAATAGGGTATTCCAAAGTTTAAAGTTTTATTGTGGGAATAACTTACATGCTCCTGCTTGTCTCGTCCCATAGGTTCTTGTTGTGGTTAAAAGAAATTGTTGCATACAATGCCACACAATGTTACAAGATACGGGCTTATTCTACTGATGCACACAGCTGCACTTATGTTGGAATGTGGGGCGTGCTAATGCTTCATCAAGTCTCAGTTTGAAAGATTCAACGCTTGGAACATAGCCGATATGGGATGGGAGAGAGTTTCAGATCAAACAGACTCTGAGTGCGAATGACTGACGCCGGCATTCCAATCGGCATTTTGAGACCACAAGTTTACACGGATGTCCTCTGAGATGAATGTTGGGTGCTAATTTTAGCAGTGGGCGACATGGATGGCTTGGGTTTTGCATTATTTGGTATACCATAGTCATGTGCCCTCTGATGCGCCGGTAGTGATTGGAATATAACCCCAACGACTCCAATCTCTCCGTGTATGAATAGCAATTCAACCCCTTCACCATTTTGATAATCATTCTTTGTGAACACTCCAGCATTTTGCAGTCATGTTGTAGCCATGGCTTCAATACCTGAATAACGTACTCTGAGTGGGCGAGTGTATGCTGATGGCAGACGGGGGAAACGTGCTGACTCAAAACGGCCAAAGACACGCCATAGCGAGCTGACATTCTTTACAGTTGCACTCGACACCCTGACGCAGTAGGGTGAGCAGCTTACGTTTTCTTGAATGATGATGCCCAGGTCCTTCTCCATTGAGGCTTGTGGCAGTTTTTTATTTCCGATGAAATATGAAAATCAGTACTTGTCTCGTAGAGATGGAACCTGTACAAAAGTTTGCGGTTTGAGATAAATCTCTGCATTGGAGGTTCTTGATGGTTTAGTTAATCTTCACGCACCAACTTGGTGCAGTAGTTACGCAGCAGTCGATAATTGTTCCAATCGCATGCATTCGAAAGACTGATGGGACCGTCACAGCAATCTAATTAAAAAATTCCTGCAGCTTGGTGCGATGTCTGGTGGATGCGCTCGAAACGATAAAATCTAATCACCGTTTCATTTTAATAGTCACTAGTCACTATTATTTGACAAAATAAGAAATGGTTACGCAATTGTGAGGAACAGTGTCGCATCTAGTTCAGTAGCCGGATATGAAAATCGAGGTAACATTCGAAAGAACTTACAATTCGATGCATTGATCACAAATGCCACTGAACTTCATTCAGTGTGTCCATCGCTTCAATGTGACTATCCACTGTAACCATTTATTTCGATCTCATCAACATTTTTGTTAATCACCATTCACACTTGGGATATTGAAGCAATATTGTTTAGAAAAGTTCAATATTTCAACCACACACCTCCCGAAGATACATGGGTTTGTCTTCATTTCGTTTTCCATCTAGGCTTCCCACCAGGTGTAGTGAATATTCTACCCGGATACGGTGAAACTACTGGTGCCCCCTTGTGTGTGCATCCGGATGTTCGTGTCATCTCGTTCACTGGAAGTACGGAAGTCGGCCAGCTCATCATGAAAGCTGCAGCGTCCAATGTAAAACACGTGAAGTTGGAATTGGGCGGGAAATCTCCTCTTATCATCTTTGCTGATGCGGACTGTAAGTCGTCCAGTTGCCATTTGTTGTTATTTAGTCTTGCCGAACTTCTCCCTGATTGTTTCCCATTTATGCGGGAGTGCGGATCTGGTACAAGCTTTCCAGTAGCTCAGAACGGTGAGGCGAATGCTGTCAGTTCGGAAATGTGGGTTTGACTGTCCCACATGTTAGAATCAGAATTTTCGTCAGACTATTTGGGGTGCATTTTGGGCGCATGATGGAGCACTAACAAAGGCAAGTTAGTGTACTATTCGTAGTCTGTTTTCGTACAGTTATTATGACGGTTAATTCATCTCATCGAATAATTCCCAGATGACTAGGATGACTGAGGAAACAATAGTTTTAAAACAAATAGTCTTTGTGCTCACCAAATTGGTCGGTTCCACCTATGTTGAAGCACTCCGGCTGTGGGCAGGATTATTTTTGTTCTATCACTCATTCCGGACTACCCACTAGACTACCCTCTATACCCTGATTCTCGCCACTTGAGGAATTGTGTTGACTTCATGGATTTAACTGTTCTTAGTCTAATTGCTATTGATTCCTGTGGATAAACACGCTGGACAGTGTTTAGATATCCTTTTCGAAGTTGATATTGCCCATGTCGAAGCGAATCACAGATTTAGTGTGATTTCTGTTCGATAGTATCGCTTATATCTACAGAGTTCTGTGCTTAACCAAGGACAGGAACACTTGGATCCCGCCCGATCTGAGCCATTGTCAAGCCTCGAGAGAAAAACTGCTTGAAACAGGTGACACATTAGATAGAAACGGCTATCCAGAAAACTTCATAAAGACGTACAAGGGGAAAGAGTATCAGGCACCGTGTTTTTTGTTCCTAAGAGACGGGTTTCATAGTAGGCATGTTAAATAAAACGCTGACTCGTCCAATTTAGTGCAGTGTGCCATTACGCACTTCGCCGGTAAGCTCAGTTCATCTGTATCGCGGTCTAATTTCAGTTGAGGCTGCTGCACAAACGGCACATGAGGCAACTATGACCAACCACGGACAGTGTTGTGTTGCGGGTAGTCGAACGTTTGTCGAGGGTCCGATCTACGACAAGATGGTCCAGCGCTTGAAGGAATTGGCCGAGTCTCGCAAAGTCGGAGATCCATTTGCCGAGGACACCGTGCAAGGTCCTCAGGTATGTAGCATTTTAACCACGGTTCAGTATATTCAGTCTGATAATTTGACCTTCAGTTATACGAACTTCGATCGCATGATTGTACTAGCACACATACGAGAAACCACAACTGAAGCACTTTTGGAATTGCATGATCAGTGCATAATATCATCATTATCAGCATATTTGCGGCTAATGGAATCTAATGTACCAACGGAGCGTCGAATCACTGCACCGATTAATAAATGAGCTGGCTCTGAAAGACCTGTGCAGACAAATTAACCCGGCGTTGTCAATCAGATATTTGTGACGAAAACATTCCTATTCAGAAAAAGGATATGTGTGTATGAAATAACAAAAGATTGTCGGATACGCAAGCAGGAAGAATAGCGAAATTCTGTTGAGATATCACTTATTGTCAAATGTAAATATAAACTATTACATATTATACTAACAGGAATAAGTTAATCCCTGAATCTTTGTGTCTTACAGGGTTCATTATGCTGCATTGTGCCACTGAATAGTTTTACTTTTCTTTGGGAATCTTTGTGTCTCGTTGTCATTATGTAAACATTAGACACCTGTCACTCACCTCAGTGATCTGAATCAAAACATTGGTACTTACCTGGTGTCATATCATTCCCCGAGGATCGTCTTCAAGAAATCCAGACGTTTGGGTCTATGATGTCAAGAATAATGGATATTACCGCCAAATTCTATCATCGAGGCACGCCATGAATGCCAAACCCAAACAGCGTCATAATACCACAATTTGTAACTTTTGTATTAAATAATGTCGTGAATATGCAAAAGTGGCGTTGCCTGTATGCAGCCCAGACTTTACCGGATAGATAAATGTACATGTACGCAACAATTTATTCCACAAAAAGCTAAACTCGATGAAGGAATATCAATCGAAGAAACCTTGAACAGAGGGAAACAGTATGGAAGTTTAATAGGATGAAATGGCTTATGCAACCGGTAATCATGATATACATTACTTGTGTCACAACATAAATAGTTAAATTAACCTTAGTAATGATTCAGATTGCAAAAATAATGCAAAAGGAATCCACGGGGCGCAATAGACTGTTTTGTGCAGTGTCCAGAATGGTCGGACTTAGATGAACTACAAAGATATTTCGTCGGCCTCTGGCGCGACAAGCGGACACTGGAATGATTCGTTGTGTCAATCCACTCCACGGATTGAAGTTCGAATGACGGTAAACTGAAACAAACGGACCTTGTAGGAAATAATAACAGTAATAAGCTGAGAATGTCGAGAAATTTGGCGACTCAGAAGCTCACCAATCATCTCCAGTGATCATATACTTTCAGAACATAATCGACTTCATTTGTACCACTCATTGAGCATAATTATGAGTTCTCTAGCCTGAATCAATTTTAATCAAAACTAGCTGTATGACTTTTCTTTAGGTGGATGACGTCCAGTTCAAACGAGTGATGTCATACATTGAGTCAGGCAAAAAAGAAGGCGCGCGTCTGGTTACCGGGGGTGCCCGTGTCGGCCACAAGGGTTACTTTATCCAACCAACAGTGTTTGCTGATGTGACCGATGAGATGACCATTGCCAAGGAAGAGATCTTCGGTCCAGTTCAATCGATCTTACGGTTTGATACATTTGAAGAGGTAGTTGAGCGTGCGAATGCCACCCACTACGGGCTTGGTGCTGGTGTGTTCACCTCGGATATGGACAAAGCGATGCGTCTGTCGCAAGTGATTGAGGCGGGTACTTTCTGGTGCGTTAGACGTTTGTATCTACTGTTATATTTCTGATTAACTTCGGTATGTGTTGGATTTCTAAGCATTTTATCTTCTACTGTGAGAACTCAAACCTTTCGTACACGACCCGCTTGTTCTCATTGTGGTGTTGTTTTGTAGGATTAATTGTTACAATACGGCCGCTGCTCAAGTACCTTTCGGTGGTTACAAGATGTCCGGCATAGGAAAAGATTTGTGAGTTTTTTTGAGCTCTTCATATTTTCTCGTGTACTATTATCTAGTGTCTGTTGTTCAACCTGCCATTTGGTATTTATTATTTAGACTCTCTAAGCCCCCATCCAACTCAGCTCTACCCGGTCAGTTATGGGGGTGAAGTTTGAAAGGTTGAGATATAAAGATAAAAAGATGTGAGTTGTGTGTGAGAAGAAGTGTTTAAATGTTTCATAAGTAATACTTATTACTCACGGGTTACGCAAACTCTCTCATGGATCAAATTTAAACAACGATTGGCACCGAAATCACTATACTGGCCAAGGTACACAAGTGCACCCCTTAATAGATTCTGACCGATTTCTCACCGGACGTGTGCAATGCTATTTAGACGCTGTTGTTCTAGTTCATTGCATATTTGGTGGTAGCTTCAGCAGCAGATTACCATCATAAATGTTTCAGGAGCTCGAATGTCGAGCAAACGTCTTCAATACATGAAGATACTCTCAAGAGCTACTCAGTTGATCAAGTATCCATACCTCATCTCTCGCTATAGGTTCTGTTTCTAATGTATGACTAGAAGGAGTCTATCTTTATGCTAAATCATTTACATTTATTGCGAAAACCACATGCAACCTGGTTCTCTTTTGATCAGCTCGTACCCTTGTATTCTTCTTTTCTCTCATCTATGTTTCTAGGGGTGAAGAATGCGTCAAATGCTATTTGCAAACCAAGGTTGTCACAATACCAATCTCACAGAAGAATTCCTAATTGAATCGTGTGTTTCATGAAACAAACATTTTCTCTGATTCCGTTCTTCAATAAAACAGTTTTATGATTTATCATTTTGCTTTATTCTCTTCCCCAAGTTGGATAACGTGTGAAGGAATGCACATTCATGTGCATCATGATTGAATGATACCAAGTAGGATGAACTTTGTTGAATTCCTGAGCCGTCTAGGCACAAATTGACAATTCCCCGGTGTCTGATTAAATAATTATCATTCGTACTGCTGATGAGATACGATTCACCTGAACGGAAGCAAGGGACTGGAATTCGTGGTCTTCTTTGGTGATCGCAAATATTGAATATCGTCTCATCGTAGACTAAAAGACAAGGCTCATAATTGATCCATACGGATGAACAAAATCTCATCGTGTATCACAATTCTCGAGTTACGTTGGAATCAGTTCACGTTATAGTCGTTTGATACGTTAAAACTGGTAGAAGAAATGATGGGACTTTGTTGTTCGAGGCACTCAAGAGTGCATCGTGAGATTCGTGTGAACGTGGGTGACCGTACGATTTTCAGTCTTGCTCATCCACTAGAGTCAGTCAGTCACCTGTGGTGAGTACTTGTGATGATAACCTGCGGAACTATTATATCTGTCTGATCTCACCGATCACCGGTTGTTATGTAGTCGGACAGGTTCATTTGAGTACGTTCTTCATCATCATCGAATAGCGAGATAAAGTGAAGCGAAATTCACTGATCGCTGTCAAGCTCACAATGTACACAACCCAACCGATAAAGCACAGCATGGAGAGGTAGTGGGCTTAATTAAAGGGAGGCAAAGAAAGTGAACCACTATGGTCAACACAGAGTACAAAATTGAAGTGTTGGGACGAAGATCAATACCATTCGTCCCAAGATAAACCCGGCCGCATACTTGCTGATACTGCAAAGAAAATCAAACAGCTTTACAACACATTCGACCCAAATTAGGGTCATCGCGGATCAACACTAATCTCGCGGAGATAAATCAATAATATTGCGTCTTTCGGCAATATTCACTCTCTCCGTCCGTAGTCTATGGCCAGTTGAACGTTGCTCACTGTGCGTTTCATTGGTACATTCGTTTTCTTGCATTGATCAATGTTATTTTCAGTCACACATAAGCAGCAGAGTAAAACTTGCGAATTGACGCATGAATCATGACTTGTGATTTGTGCTGAACGTCATTAAAATTCCGTGCTGCTGAAGCCGTGTCTTCTCTAGCGTGATTTTAGGAGGCCCGAGAGATCGATAGCCGACCGTGCATCTTGTGTTTTGCCTAGGTAGCATCCGATCCTGGAACTAGCATCCGCTCACGGACTTAGTGTTAGTTCGCTGTTCTCGTTTCCCGTGTGCTGCTATTGTTACTGAACTATATCTTGTGTTCCTTGCACTGAAGTGCGTATCTTTTCTGAATCAATCAAGAGTGAATTTCCCCGGCTCAACTTTATTGGCGATTGTGCTCCGCTTGACAAAAACGAATTCGCGAAACCTGGTAAACCCTTCTACGGCTTTTTGGCATCAATTGCGGCGCGAAACAGAGCTGCGTTAACATCGGGACCTCAATCCCTGTCTCACCAAATGATAGTGACATGAGCATTTCCAATTCGGTTTCCAGAGCTGCAAAATTAATTGAGAAATCGACCTGGTTATACGCTTGCCAACCCAAATGGCCTGATATGGTTTCACTTCTTGTCCTATAAGAATATGCCGGTGTCCTTTCCTTAGTGATGTGTGAAATTTTTCAACTGCTGCATTTTGCAGCAGTCTTCTCACCTGCGGGAGGGTAGCCTCGATCAACCCAGTAAACAAGAAGGGTTCCTCAAATATGCATCCCATTGTGTGCAACTCAGTTATTTCGAACGTGGCTGAGGGTCTCCTGATTAAAGCCTCATGCCCACAATTTCATGTTAATGACCCAAACTAGTTTGCATATACGAATTCCCGTGAGCCCCGGATACCGTTGAATTCTATCTCACACACACATTGTTTTATCCGAGCTTGATCAGCAAAGTTAGGCTCTCCGCACACGTGTTCAGACCTACAGTGATGCGCTGAATCCACTAAAGAGGCAAATTTTGCTAAATCTCCTTTCCTCGGACGGCGTTCAACTTCCCGCCTCCCCATCCTTGAAAACTTCGCGTCACATCTCCACCCTGATCCTGGCGACGGCGTTAGTTATAAGTCCACCAAGTAGTGCCATTATGAGAATAGTTACTTACAACGAGCAACGGCACAGGTATTACTAATTTGGGATTTATGCAACAAAGTGTCTCATTGGTAACGTATTTAGAATTCCCACAAGCAAACAGGATCATTAGTGAAACAGTCGGAAGTTGGGTGCGCATTTCCCGTAGTTACCATTTTGAACACAGTGATTCGCTCTAAAAGGTCATTTTAATTCTTGACCGTTGAGAGAAACAGCCAATCACGATGTTTTTAGTATTCTTACCATACTACTAACAAAACTGGTGAGATCTATAGCGTGGCCAACCAGTCACGTGATATCTGATGTGAGTGAGCTGCGGCATGATTTGATCTCTCATCACAATCTCTGTATTTTCCCAGGCAGCCTTCCTGAAAGTTCATTGTACATTTGTATGTGAACAGAACTGATATTGGCCATGATTCGGGTGATGTTTTTTNTTTTTTAGTAGAGCTGTTCTTCAAAATGTGCGATGCTTCCTCGGATATCCCGAAATTTCTCCGTGGTTCGCTTTAGTTTTATTCCTCATTGTTATTCCGAATTCAGTAGTAGTATCACACTCGTTCCATTTGACGGTTTTCATAAATCTACATGTGTATTTGACAAAATCGTACATTACTGTAGTTGCACCATATGTACCTTGAAATCAAAGGTAAAACTTCGTGCAAATGAAGCAAAAAACCCGTTAAGACTCAGCAGTGGTCATGTAGTACACTACCCGACGATGGCAAAACGGACTACGTGACCGAAATTTGATGGCCCCACTGTGTCATCCTCTCTCCTCTTTCCACTCTCCTTTTTTTGTTACTTACCTCTTACGAGTCAGCCTGAATTCCGCCTGGCAGTGTTTTGCTGTTTTAAACTCGGATGTAGTTTTAACACGTCTCTCCCGTTGCGCATTGTGACTGTTCACAACTTCACAGCAGAATGCTTTTGAATTTTTATCTCTTGGCCATGGTTTTCTTTCACGCTAACTTCACCTTCGTGTGATGGTTGTCCCTGCTTGAGCTAGCAATTCCAATATGCGTATCAATGGAAAACCAAAGTTGTGATCTAGGATGCACGAGTTTGAACTTCGCAATGACGACCAATCCTGAATTGGAATGAGCAACTCCTAACACGGTATCGACGATCAATCCCGAACTGGAACGAACAAATTCCGCCGGACAATATTGAACGGTCCCGATGAACTTCACGTGTTGTTCACATCCATGGGTTATTGTGTTAAAAAAACAGAACGCATGGTTTTGCAGCTCCATTCTTCTTGTACCCATTTGCTTATTCCTGTGGACTATTTTACAAGGATCACAATTAGCTGATTGTTCCAATGGGATTATGCTCACAGATCTACTACCAATCGCGGTATCGGTCAGCAATCAAGTCCAGACCAGCCCGCACTCCCATCTTCAAACCATTTTTCTATGGAATTACTGAACCCTGTCCAACCGGTATAAAGCAATTCGAAGACGGAAACATACCCTGTGTGCGCAAAACGAAGGGCCAGTCACTGACTTGACGCTGTTCAATATGGGATCATTCGGCCCTGTCGTATTGGTGTGTATCTGATGAACTTTTGTTTTATGCCTCTTTGTGCCAGTTGAGATGCAGCGAACTCTGGCTTGGCATACTGTAATGACCGTAGTAGTAGTATAGTAGTAATGCGCACTGGACTCGGAATACAAATCACGCAATGCGAATCACGGAACATGAGTCAAGGGTCAGCTATCACGGACTACATCACGTAAGCACTGGTCCGCAATATCACTAGCACGCAATGACTCATGTAGCTGAGACGCGAGGAAAAGGCCACAGGAATGGTAGTTCGTAGTTCGTTTATTGGAAGAAATGAGGGTGATTAAATAATCTGTACAAAAGGGGATCATTGGTTATCCAGGCTTCTACCAATCACATTCCAGTATTGCATGCGTCATTCTGCTTCTGCCTGGATTTTACTGTCTCGGATTGGCTGGCACGATCTGTCTATGGTGTGTAGTCAGAAGCAGTGACACGTACGCGCGTCATTCACGTCACTTTTTAAATTTGATT